AAAGAACTCTGGGGTACTCTGAACCAGATAATTGGTTTCTTTCTTTTTCACCGGACCCAGATTCCCACACAAAAGGGCATTGATTTGAATCGTGATTTGAGCAGTTTAGCCACAGCCCAAGATTTAATGGACTTAATGGCCTTTAGGAGACCTTAGGGCACAACAGTGGCAGCACCATCTCTGAACCAGAAGCTCTGGGTTTGAGCCCCATGCAGGATCCGTTGGCTATAGAAGGTGCATTTGTAACATGGCCAAACAGGTTGATTATCAGGCTGTAAATCCATCCAATGTGCCTGATGGTAGTTGACAGGAATGGGAGAGCCTTCTGGTCAGCCATTCCACAGAAGGTAATGGCAAACCACTTCTGTGCTTTGCCTGTAAGGGTGGACCAATCCAGCAGAGGTCTGTGGCTCAACCCTCAGAAATGAGGATGGAAGAAAAGACAAACCATCAGAATAGACATTTTCTAGTTCATTTCCATGAAATCACAGGATCGAAAGAGTGTTTGGCACGCTGACTGACAAGTGGCTTTACAGATTAAACAAAAGCATTGAATTTGGCCTATGAAATACATACAAAATAACTCAAGTCACGTTGCATAGCCAATTCCTAATTACACTCAACAGAATCACAAAGCTAAGGACAGGTTTGCAGTTTGATCTTTCAAAGATAGATTTAATTGCATTATTGTTAGAATGTTTTAAAGGCCTCATACGAAACTAAACAGAGATATTCCATTTAATGTCACAGGTCAGAACAATTACAGAAAAGCTGAACATTTTCATGGTGGGACTATAAGCATGACAGGTTGTTAAGACATTCACAACCCTGCTGAACATATCCCCACTGATTAAATTAGGGTGCTTGCTGTTGCTGTTGCCGTGGTGACAACGGCCTTTTGTTTCTTCTTTCCCATATTGTCCCGATATTTTGCTGAGCTTCCTTGAGTGCTCCTGAAAGACGTTCTGTTGTTGAAATTGATGATGAGGGCTTTTTGATGTGATGGTGGATTGTTTTAACCTCCTTTGCTCAGCAGGCTCTAAAGTGAGGAAAAATAAGATATTAAAACAGCAAAAGAATAAGCTAAACGTTTTGATGTAGTTTTGAACCAATTGTTTGGTTTTTCAGGAATATATTAATATGCAGTCTATTCTTCTCTTCAAGCTTCCAGTAAGATAATAGATCTTATCAATATAATACATTCACTCATAAATCTATCAACTTAATGAGGACTAACATATACCATGCTCCTTCAAGAGGAGGAGCTGTGCTCTACAATGTGATGCAGGACCATAAAAGTGTAAGTGAAATATGGTGAAATTATATTTAAAATAAATTTGTGTGCTATAATCATGGAGATGTCTTCAAATATGAAAATGAAAATGCAATGATAAAAAGTTTATGGGCCAACTAACTATTTTTTAAAACCCCAGATTCTCTTGTGCTTGTTGCATGAATGCAGCAGAGCAGGGAGTCATGTGGCAAAAGAGAAAAATGACAGCTACCTCTAGGTTGGTATGAGCTGCTGCTAGATATAGAACATTATTAACCACAATATTATATCCCATTTTCCTGGACTTTAAAAGTCTGTAGGCTGTGACAGGCAAGGGAGATCACAATAGGTCTGCACAAGCTGCAGGTTTCCTGGGTAGAATGACTATTTCTCATTTCATGCTTTTTTCTGTCCTTATACTTCATTTCCGAAATTCTTTATAGGTAAACTTAAAACAAAATTATGACAAAATATAGACCAAACAAGAGTGTGCTATTTGTCATCATTCAGGAACCAACTTCCACCCTGATTCCAGCACTTTGTAATAACATTCAGGTAGAAAGTTACACCATACACAGCATGTGCAGCAATTAAAAGTGGGTGGAATGCTGTGCTAAATCATTTGCCTAAAATAACAGGAATATTAAACAAAATGTTATGGACTATTATGTTTAGTTTTGGAAGCTCCACTTACGAAAAGGTACGCTGATTTTTGCTAAATTCTGGAGATGAATCGTCAGTGTGATCTAGTGATGTCAGGATAATAACCCTTGGTATGTTTGAGTAATATTTACTTGAGATGAGGAGTAATCTGACTCGGATGTTTAAAATTAAGGTAATTGTAAAAGGCATACCAGGAATAACTCTCCTTTCTGGATAAGCATGAATTAATTGTAAGGGAATAATGCTGTTAAGAGAAACTTTAGGATATTCTTCTTATACTTGTCTGGGTGAGTGCAGCTCCAACAACACTTATCTAGCTGGACACCAGCTAGGGTGGAGGTGGAAACTTTAATGGTATCAAAATTCACTCCCTGCATCACAGGCTTACAGTAACTTTTATGCATTCTTGGGAATGTGGACATCCCGGCTCAGCCAGTGTTTATTGTCCAGTTCTAATTGCCCAGAGGGCAGTTAAGAAGCAACCGAATTGCTGTGAGTCTAGAGTCACATCTAGGCCAGAACAGGAAAGGATGGCAGTTTACTTCCCTAAAGCAGATGGGTTTTTCATGACTATCGACATCATTCGATTCTTAATTCCAGATTTTCTTTTTATTGAATTCAAATTCCACCATCAGCAAATGACTGAATAAACTGTGATTTTGGTGGTGTTGGTTAAGGGAAATTTTAAACGAAACACTGGGGGCTTTCCTACACTAACTTGATTGGTGAAGTGAGAAACAGTCACAAAACTGAGTCAGCAGATGAGTCCTCAGCCTACGATCTCATCTGAAAGTTAAGGTAACAAGGAAGAGAACAGAAAAAGAGGATTGACCTAAACAGAGAGACAGCTACCATGATGACAAAATGATACAGTGATCTGCTGTACCAAATGACTTAAAACCACATCTTTTCAAGTGTATGATTCATTGTTTCTTTCAGTATTAATTCAATTTATGGAGTTTCTCAAGTGTATTGTTGCATTTAGCCTGACGTATGGAGCCAGATATTCCACAGTTTATGTTGTTTTGAATAATATTTTTATTTTACTGCCAGGAATAATATACAGACTGGGACAAAGCCAAGTATAGCAACTGCCTGGATCTTGTGATCAACAGCAAATGAAAAGCATGGGCTATTCAACACAATTTCATGAACTTTCCCATGGCTTTTGCACTAGAACTTGCTGTTACAGTATTTGGGTTTCAGAATAGCAAGGTTTCTGTACAAGGGCTGCTGTCCCTCTTGCTCAAGGCATTGAATGGTGCAGCTCCTTAACCAGCTAGATTGAAAATCCTCCCTGAGACATAGACAGCGAGAGCGTGCAAACATCTCACTGTAATTTTTACTGCAAGATCTGGGCCAGTAATAAATTGAATTATGATTTGTTCTCTTTCCACTTTTGCTTTTCAAAAAAATATATTGCCCAAGAGAAAAGATACATCCCTGACAGATAAATGGCACAGATCCTTTACAGATAACGACTAATGAACTCTACATTTTTGACTTTCTCCTTTTATTTGAGTAATGCATGTAGTTATTTCCCAGCGAATGGCTTCTATAATCTTCAACTGCAATTACATGTTGACATATTCAGTTACTCAGGTTACAGGCAATTCATTATTGTACTTACTTATACTTTTCCAATGTCACCAAAGTCAATGCAATGAGTCACGTTGAAAGTTCTAAATTAATGTTGTTGAAAACTAGTTGAATACAGTAATTATCATTCCTCAGGGTAGGTGTCCTAGGCCCAACCATCTTCAGCTGCTTCATCAATGTACTTCTCCCATCATGAAATCACAAGTAGGGACGTTCAGTACCATTTGAGATTCCTGTGAAGCAGCTGGTGTCCAATGCGTGGCCAACATCCAGGCGTGGGCTGATAAGTGTTAAGTAATATTCATGTCACTTTGCCAGGCCATGACCATCTCAGAAAAGAGACACACCTTCAATGACATTACCATCACTGAATTCTCCACTTTCAATATTCTGGGATGGGGGTGGGGGGAAGAAGGGTTATCGTTGACCAGAAATTGAAATACATGGGCTATATAAATAGTGTCTACACAAGAGGTCAGAGGCTAGGACTTTGCAGCAAGTAGCTCCCTCCTGACTCCCAAAGTTTGCCCACCATCCACAATGCACAAGCCAGGAATGAAGGAATACCCTACAACTTGTCTGGATGGGTGCAACCTCATCAACACTCAAAAAACTTAACACCATCCAATACAAAGCTGCCCATTTGATTGGCACTCCATCTCCCAGCTTCAATGCTCATCACCAATGCACAGAGGCAGCAGTGTACACCATCTACAATAATGCCCATACTAACTCTCTAAGTCTTCCTAGATAGCACTTTCCATAACCAGCAACCTCTATAACCTGGAAACAAAAGGGCAGACAATGCATGGGAGTACCACCATTTGCAAGTTCACCTCTAAGCCATGCATCATCCTGACTTGGAACTATGACATTGTTCCATTATCATCACTGGGTCAAAATCTTGGAGCTTCCTTCATTACAACGCTGTGGGTGTATCAACACTCCAATGTTTGCTGCGGTTCAAGAAGGCAGCCCACCACCACCTTCTCAAGATCAATAAATGCTAGCCTAGTAAGTAAAACCCAGATTCCACAAATTAATTCAAATAAAATTGTACATCTTTGTCCGCAAGCGTACACAAAGAGCAATGTAACTGCTCAATGCACCTCGTATCACATTGAGATCTCTATTAAATATATTGGCATCAGTGCTGGGAGAGGAAGTTAGTGTACCAGGACAAAAAAGTCAGATATACTTCTGGGGTTAGAGGAAATAATGTAGGAGGCACAATGTATGGATCGCAAATTCCAGCACAGCCAAGTTGGACCAAATGGCCTGCTGATGTGCTGAAAATTATGTTTAAAAATATTTTATTAACTCATTCTGTCACAAAGACACCGATTCTTCCCCATTTGGAATCAGAATCCTCTGCTGCTCTGTTCACGAGTCTTTTCTTCAAAGACAGATTGAGCATCAGCAAAGAGATACCTTACCATGGAAAGTGGTACAGCCACACCAGATCTTATCCTGTGAATTTGCACAGCAGGTCATCAGGGAAAACTTGCATGCTGACCTTTTTTTGTGTTAATTCAGGCTTATACAAAGACTTAAAAAGAAAAAGAGTGTTTTGAAGGTGAAGTGATAAAGCTAAAAGCTCTCGAGTCTTAAAGATAAATGAATATTTAAAAAAAACGCAGAAAACTGAAGTTCAGTTCATTGAGGCTTAAATACCAGCACTCTCCTCTACTGGTTCAATTCCTTCATGCCTGTGTACAGTTTTGAGACTGACATTACAGCACTTACTTGTTTAGCATAGTTAATACAGTGAATGTACTGCTTAGCCAATGCAGAACAGCTGAGAGTCTGCTGTGGGTTCGTCTGATAGCAGCGCAGGACTTCGCCTTGGAGTTCAGCACAGATGGGTTGTGACTTGTACTTCCTGGGGAAAGAAATGAGTGAAGGAGAGGTTAAAGCAAACAAAAGAATTAACACAAGTGTTTGAATATCAGATCACACATTGGTTTCAAATGAGTTGACATCTGATATGCAAAGACATGACATTCACTCGATGTAGCCTCATACCAATAAAGTATACACTTACCGAACTTTGCATTTGGGCACTGAGTAAGTAACTCATGCCAGTTTAAAATTCAACACCTTGAAAATGTGCTCCTGTGATCACAGTTAGGCACGTTGCAGTGGTCAGTTCACGAGGATAAAATCTTTAAGCCAAACATGTGGCAATTCTCTTCCATCTAGGCTTCAGCAAGCAATTATCACCTGATTAAATTTTTACTGCAAATACCAGGTTTGATCACTAAGCTGTTCTAAATGAGATCTGAGTTGTGATAAAGTAGGGATGATACAATTGGTTTAAGGCAGGCCCAGCAAAGAAGCTATCAGGGAAATGAAAATCAATTATTACTCAAACTCTTGCCTCCAACAAGTAAGGTCCACACATGTATTTATTTATTTACCACAATGTGGTCTGATATCCTGCCGTGATTTATAGTGCAGTAATCGCTCATGGTTGATCATGTAATCTCAGTATCTCATTCCCTCTTTCTCTCCATACCCTTGATCCCTTTAACCACAAGGGCCATGTCCAGCCCTGTCGTGAATATATCTAATGAACTGGCCCCAACAGCTTCCTGTGGGACAGACATCCATTGTTGTAGCAACTACATGGTCTCACCAATACACCATGCCTGGGGCCATCCTTCTCTGCAGCATATGAGATACACAACATTGGCGGAGTCACATGAGTATCTGCCATGTACGTGGTGGGTGGTGTTTCCCTGTGTGATGGTAGTATCCATGTCGATGATCTAACATATCTTGCAGAGGTTACCATGGCAAGGTTGTGGTTGATGTTCTCCTGAAGGCTGGGTAGTTTGCTGCGAACAATGGTCTGTTTAAGGTTTGGTGGTTGTCTGAAGGCGAGAAGTGGAGGCGTAAGGATGATCTTGTTATGATCTCCTGACATTAATTAGTTTGTACAGTTTTGGATTACTTATGACTTTAGTTGAATCTCGGCACGCGACTCTTACAACGACCATGTTATTCCAGTCATTTGGTTTATTTCCAGCATCACTTTTTTTTTTAAAAGACAGGCCTTTTGGCTCAAACTGGTCCATACCGACCAAAAAGTCCATCCACACTAACCCCATTTCCCTGCACTTAGCCTATATCCTTTTAAACCTTTTGTATCCATGTATTTGTCTAAATGCCTTTTAAATGCTGTTAACGTACCCGCCTCTACCACTTCCGCTGGCAGCTCATTCAATATGCATACCACTGTCTGTGTAAAAAAGTTGCCCCTCAGGCTCTCATGTATTCTTTCCCCTCTTACCTTAAACTCATGCCCTCTAGTCCTCGATTCCCCAACCCTGGGAAAAAGACTAAGTGCATTCATCCTGTCCATGTCTCTCATGATCTTAAACACTTCTTTAAGATCTCCCTTCAGTCTCCTACGCTCTAAACTCTAAAGAAAAAAGTCTTAGCTTGTCCCTATTTTTATTTTTTTGTATTTATCTCTCTGCCTCATTTAATCAGATTATTACTCATCCCTTTGCTTGTTATTCAGCTGTTGACACTTTATTCACACCGTCTCATGCTTCCTATCACCTGCTGGGACTTATTGTTCTGCACTCCACTCATACTATTTGTATGGTCTTTTGATCTCTCTGCCCATAAATTCTGTGCCTGTGTGCTTCTTTTTCACTTCACCGGACAAAGTGTCAATGCTCCGAAAGCTTGAGATTTCAAATAAACCTGTTGGACTATAACCTGGTGTTCTGACATTATCCACCCCAGTACAACATCAGCACCTCTACATCCTGAATGGCTTATCCCTTATTCTTAGACTGTGACCCCTAGCTCTGGACTTCTCCAACATTGGAAACATTCTTCCCACATCTAGCCTGTCCAGTTCCATCAGGATTTTATAGGTTTCTAGGAGATCCCCCTCATTCTTCTAAATTCCAGCAAATTCAAGCCCAGTTGATCCAGTCTTTCCTCACATGTCAGTCCTACCATCCCGGGAATCAGTCTGGTGAACTTTTGCTGGACTCCCTCGATAGCAAAAATGTCCTTCCTCAGACTAGGAGACCAAAACTGCACACAATACTCAAGGTGTGGTCTCACCAAGGCCCTGTATAACTGCAGCAAGGCATCCCTACTCAGATGCTCAAATCCGCTTCCAACAAAGGCCAGCATGCCATTAGCTTTCCTCATCGCCTGCTGCACCTGCACGCCAACTTTCAGCAACTGTTCCATCATGACACCCTTTTTCCTAAACTGCCACCATTCAGATAATAATCCGTCTCCTGTTTTTGTGACCAAAGTAGATAACCTCACATTTATCCACATTATTTTGCAATTGTGAAGCATTTGCTCGCTCAGCCAAGTAACCCTGCAGCCTCTTAGCATCCTCCTCACAGTGCACAAGTATCCTTAACTTCAGTATAAACAACAGGCAAACATTTATCTCTCATTTATAGTGGTATCTGCAAATCAGAATTGGGCATTTCACCAAGCAATGCTAATTATAATTAGTCCAATGCCAGTTGCCTGCTGTGTCGCCCCACAGGAAAAAGAAAAGGTTGGAAAATTTAATCCAGGCAGAGAGAGTAGCTTTCTAACTCTTCATACATCTTTAGTTATTGCCATTAAGTTGTGAGTTCAGCACAAATGTGAATTTACAGCTCCAGTTTAAACAGGGTATTAGGCACAAAACGCCTGAATTCCCACTGTGATGCTTAATGATAAATAGTTCCATCTGTTTGTCCACATGTGGAAACAAGTTCAATCCAGCAATCAGAACAAATGCTCAGAAACACCAAAATTGGAGTCAGTTCAGTCCCAGGAGGATGTGAACTACACGCATGCACGAGTCACTTATAGTTATCAGCTGTTTTCCAATATTCAAAAGTAGCAAGGCAACAAGCAAACAGACTGTCAATTCTCACTCATTAATCAGCGGCTGCAAGAGTCAGCACTTCCAAAGCACTTTGAAAAACAATATTTCTATAGTTTCATCCTATAAAAGACCACCAGGAGACATGATCAATAGTATCCTTAAACACTGTTATATCATAATTCTTCATTTGGTGACTTCTGAAAAATTTAAACCTTGAGTTTTACTTAATTCTTTTTTCCAGCTGTTGAAAATGGATTTAAAACAAGAGTTGAGTGGGGAATAGAGTAAGCTAAGAAGACTTAATTTGATGTTAAGGAGATAGAATACACCACAACAAGCTGCAGCAGAATCCAGAGTACAGTTTTAAAGAGAAGTGGATACATTGTTGGAAAGAAAAAGACAAAAATTAATTTTGAACTGCTCTATAAGCCAGGAGTGGTGCCATGCATTTGCAGATGTTGCATGCTCTGAAACAGGCAGATGAGGGGATGCACAGAAAGGAAAGTGAAAACATGGCATGAAAAAAATTAATTGGAGAAATGTGAGCCCTTACTCAGGAGAAGGGTCAGGAACATGCCTAAACAAGATGAATGTTTAGATAATGACCATCAGAAAAACCATATGTTTGCTAGTGCAAAGTCTCAGCCACATTGGAAGGAAGCAAAAAAATATGAAGTGAGAAATATCTTGTTTGAGAGATTAGACCTATTGGCCCATTTTCCCAGATTCCTCGCTTCCCTGAGAGATCAAGGTTCTGTGTTTCAGTCTGAAAAATATTCAATGTCAAAGCAGCCTCATCTTCTGGGCTGGAGAGTTCTTATTCCTAACACTTTGAAGCAATTTCTCCTTATCTTGATCTTAATTGTCTACATTATCATTTACCCCGAGACCGGTGTCCCAAGCTCTAAACCCGTCTGCTATGGGCAACTACTGTTGGTGCTGGGCCCCAGCTATTTACAATCTACAGAAATTGTTGCAGAAACTCAGCAGGTCTGACAGTATCTGTAGAGAGAAACAGAGTTAATGTTTTGGGTCCAGCAATCCTTCTTCAGAACAGGTCACTGGACTCGAAATATTTATTCTGCTTTCTCTCCTCAGGTACTGTCAGCCCTGCTGAATGTCATCAGCAATTTCTGTTTTTGTTTCAGACTTTTCAACATCGCAGTTCTTGGTTTTATCTACAATCCACATTGGCAATTTGTATGAAGAGACAGAATTTGTTTACATTGGCAATTTGTATGAAGAGACAGAATTTGTTGACAAAGCACTTTCTGATTTTTAATGGTTAAACAGGCTGGTTCTCCTTAGGATATAGACGCAATTTACTTTGCGTGTCATCGCAGAATAAGCCCCTCATCGCAAGGACTAATCAAATGAGGTTTGCCTGCACAGCCTCCAGTGCAAGTCTCTCCTTAAATATGGAGAGTGAAACTGCATAGACAGTATTATTTCACGTATAGTCTCACTAAACCTACAGAATTGTAGCAAGAATATTTTTGTATTCCAATCTATTTGCAATAAAGGCCAGCTTACTGCTTCCAGTCCAAATTGATTTGCTGTACTAGCATGCTAACTTTGCGCTATACCAGTACACCCAAGTCCCTCTGATCAAAATTTCAAGGTTTCACACCCTTTTAAAAGAATTGTTTCTTACCATGAAAGTGAATGTTGTCACACTTAGCCACGTTATACTATATATGACACTTTGTTGCCAACTTACAACCTATTTTCCTCTACAGACTTTTTGTGTCTTGCATTTCCATTTAGCTTTGTATAGTCGGTGGACTCCCTGTTATCTTCATCAGAGCATTAGTGTAGACTGATGCTTGTGGCACTCCACTGGCTACAACATATAAATCTGAAAATGGCACATTTATACGTGCTGTATGCTTCCCGTCCATTAACCAATTCTTTATACATGCTAATATTTACTCCAAACCAGTGAGCCCATAAGCAGGGGGTTGGGATCCAGACAGAATGTTCAGCAGGTGGAGATGAATGGCCAAAATTAGGAGAGA